CCAAAAGGATGTGTGAAACTGTCATGAATGGTAATAAAATAGAGCGTGATGATCACAATGGTGTGTACAGTTTCCTTGACAGTTCTATATTAGAACAGCGTAACAGCAGGTGCAAATCGTGAATTCGACTTCAGTAATACCCCTAAATCTTAGCAAGTATTAACAAAAAAAGAAGTTAGGGAGATGCTTTAAAGCAATTATATATCTGTCTGAAGCGGAATAAAAATTTTATCAATTCTTAAGATTACTTTTGTAGAAAAAGTATTGTTAAGTTTATTAATTTTTAAATTTTTGAGTAATAACTGTAGTAACGTTTAAGTTTTTTACGAGAAATAGAAGTGTTTTTTAACTAGGCTTTAGTCTTAATAGGAATCAGATATATATTTAACCAAATTTTTAGTATTTTTTCTGTTTTTAGCTGACTGTTATAAAACTTCTACGTAGAGCCAGTTGCTTTTTAGAATAATCTTTTTTTTTTGCGATTATACCTAACGTGTTTTTAATCAACTGTTTTTAGATAACAACTGATAGCTCAACTATAGTTATTATAAAAAAGAACATCTTGATTACTTTAGAACCAAACGATTTAAATAATTTTTATATTTTCAAAGCAGTTCTTATTTTATAATTAATTTAAAGGCGTGTTTTTTCAATAATTTGGGCCAGGATTGATGCAGAATTTCTAGCTCACTCCTTTAATCTCTGCTCTTCTTGATTCCTCGTTCGTCATGTCATACAAGACAACGTCATTCGTCGGCTCTACATATATTATCATTGGTTGCCTCATTCTGGTTATAATCACCACTGCCACGAGAAGTATAAGTGCCAGCAAAACAGCTATAACAGCGATTACTGGGGTATAACTTCCTGTCTTTGCTGTTTCCACTTCTCTTTTACTCTTCATTACTTTATCTGAGCGAATATAGCTTACCTAAAAGGTTTAGCATCAGATTAGTGCTGTGTTATAGAAAGTTTTTTGCAGAATCAGAAACCCAAGAGGCTTTAAAACTTGAAAATGATAATTTTAATTTTAGCAATGAAACCAACTAAGCAGCATAAAACTTCTGCTGCAGCAACATGAAAAACTGAAAAACTGTAGTTTCTAGAGTTGCTCTTGAATTTTGAAAAGCCTTTGTACTAAATAATGTCACATAAAAGAACTAATCATTTACTGCTTTCAAAAAGAAAATATATTTTTTTAAACAAATATCTTTTGTTACAGCGGTGCAAAAAACAAATTCAAATTTTAAAGCCGATAACTCGTACGTTTTAGTGATGAAACATACTAAACAGAATAAAGCATACATCACAACGCTGCAAAAGAACAAAAAATCTAAATTACCAAGGTTGACGTTGAGTCCTAAAAAGATATCTTATTAGATCATATTATATTTGAAAGCTGAATGCTTAAAGTTTTCATCAATAAAGCATATTATTCACTACAAACATCGCTTATTACATTAATACAGAGATAATGGCAAATTTTTAAGCTGATAAATTGTTAGTCTTAGCAAATAAATCATATTATACGACAAAAAGAAAGTTTACTGCAGAAAAATTTTGATCACCAGAGTCACCCAGGTAATCTAAAAGCCACCTCATGGAACTTCCTTGCAAGTGAGAGCTAATTACTTACTACTTTTAACAATAAGGAATTTTTGCTTATAATATGTACTATTTGACATCGTGATACAGAATATAGTATCAAATTTTGATGCCGATAACATACTGTTTTTAGTAACTAAATATTTGTACGCAATATAGAGCATTTATTACGACAGTAAAAAAAGTAAAAGTCTTAGATTACCAAGTCTGCTGTCGGCACCTGAAAAGCCGTCTTGCTGAATTATCTTATTATTGAGAACTGATCGCCTACTGCTTTTAACACTTAACGCATAACTTACGTCAGGTTCTGTGCGTCACAGTGGTACAAAAATCAATTTCTTATTCCAGAACACTATTTTAGAAAAATATATCAGTTTTGACAGTGAAAAAATGTACGACATAGAACTTTCACTCGCAGTGTAAAAAGTGAAAAATAAGTGAGAAATTTAAGTTACTGTATTTAACGTCAAAATTTAAGAAAGTATTTTACCTATCCTCAACTTGAAAATTGATCACTTACAAATTTTAGTAATAAGGTATAATATTTATGGCAAATATTGTTTATTACGTCGGTAAAAAATAATGTTAGATTATGAAGCTAGTAACCTGTTAGTTATAGCAACGGAACATATTATACAGCATAAAACACTGTTGCTAAAATAGCATAAAAAACTAAAAAATTTAAATTGCTTAATTGTCTGTTAAAATCTAAAATCTTCTGAGTTGTTTTATATCTGAGAGCTGATCGTTTTCTTTTTGTAAAACTAAGAGATACCATTTGACAAAATTCTACAAAAAGATAAAAACAGTTTTTGGAGTTGTCAATCTATAAGTTTTAACAACAAAACATTACACAACAAAAAACGTCCATTACAGAAGAATTTGTTTTACCTTAATACCTGATGAAACCTGAAAAGGCATTTTATTAATTTCTGTCAAATTTAGAAGTTAATCGTTTAGCATTTTTAGCATCAAAGCATTTTGTTTACAGTACAGACTATTTAGCACAGAGTCACAAAAAAAAACACTGACAGCTTTTGGAGTTGTCAACCTATCAGTTTTACCATTAAAACAGCACAAGGCTTTTAATACAGCAGTGTTAAAAATTGAAACATCAAACTTAATGAGATTGTTGTCCAAACCTAAAGAGCGATTTCATTGAAATATCTTACAATTAAGAACTGATTACCTAATAATCCCAAAAATAAAGCAAATAATTTATGACAAATATTATTTGAAATAATAATCTTAATAGATCATTCACAGCAGTGAAACACACTTTGCAAGACAAAATAGCTGCTACAGCAGCAAAGGAAAATGAGAAATTAAACTACCGTGTCGTTTACAGAAACCTAAAAAATATCATAATAGAATATTTTGAAATTGAAAATTAAATACTTATTACTTTCTACAATAAGACCTGCTGTTTACGAAAAATACTATTTAAAATAGTGGTACTAAAAATAATGTATGATTCTGAAGATCGTACGTAATTCGTTGGTTTTAGCAGTAAAAAGTGTTTAATAGCATAAAGCCTTTACTAAAGCAACATAAAAAACCAAGAAATTTGGATTACCAGAGTTGCTGTTGCCATTGGAACCTTAAAACCATCTTTTGAACCGTTATGCATTTGAGAACTAATCACTCACTACTTTTTGTATTATGGTATATTGTCTACATCATTACTGCTGGACACAGTAGTGCAAAAAAATGCCAAATTTTAAAGTTGATAACGCACTAGTTTTGAAAATAAAAAGTTTTCTGTGCAGCATAAAGGTTTTTGATAGCAGAAAAAAGAATTTGAATTTTTGGGGTTGACATTAAGACTTTAAAAAACTATAATTAATAAATTATTTTATGTTTGAAAACTGATTACTTATTACTTTTAGCGGCAAGACATATTGTTCACAATAAATTTTAGTTTGACGCATCATTGTAAAAAGTAGCATCAAATCTTGAAGTTTCTAGAATATTAGTTTTAGCAATGAACCAGATTATATAGCAAAAAAGTGCTAAGAACAAAATCATTTAATTTACTGGAGTATCCGTTGGAACCTGCAAAGCAGTTTTATTGAACTATCTTTCATACAAGAATTAGTTACGTACTGCTCGTAACGATAAAGAATGTAACTTAGAACGGTAATTGTTTTCTACTATGGTAAAAAAACGGTATCGTAAAGACTTTTAGCAATAAATGTTTCGCAAAAGGTAGCAAAGTTTTGCGGTTTTTGGAAGTGCGATTAAACAAAACTTTAAAAGAATTGAAATATTTACTTCTTCATCGGGTAATTCTTCTTCTAATCCTAATTTTGTTTCTAATTTTTTTACAATAGCTGCATATGTTTCCTCCTCGCTGCCAACGTAAAGTTGACCTTCTAAAATTAAAGTCTTTTCGAAAAACACGTGGAAAAGTATACAGAAAATTGAAAACAATAAAACAGAAATGCTACAGCAAAAAATCTCATTTTTTAAAAACTTTACAAATTTGTTGCTCTCACCTAATGTACCTCTTTTAAATATGGCTGATTACTAGTCAGCAGAAGTACGAGTAAACATCGAAAACAAAATTTTAAGAAAGAAACAAAAATTATTAATTATGAATTTTCAAAAACGTTGAAATTTACTTTCATATTTGCACACAGTAGTTCCTTTGAAAAGTGGTGAAGTGTCACTCCATTTTCCTGATTCACTTCTTGCAGCTAATATCTCTTCCTTTGGACAACACTGATCTGGTTCATTCCGTTTCCAGTTTGTGAACTTTGGTACTTTGGAGAAGGGCCATCTCCATTTGCCGGAATAAAACAAAGGGAGAAGCCAGAACGGTTTTGATTCAGTAAATTCTTAACAGTTCAGAACAATTTATTTAGTTAAAGTGCTGTACTTTTCGATTTTTCTGTTTTTTTATTTATCTGTGACGAACTATGATTACAAATAATGCACAGTTTGTACCGTTGAGAAATTTCTGTTCTCTGCCAGACGTAATCCATACTAAACTTGAACCATAACCTCTGCAGGTTACACGAGCAGTACTCCACGGAACACTTGCATTAAACTAAAATTTGCCATTGGCGAGTTTTACCTAATAAAGAAACTCTTGCTAAATGAGAGAGAATTAAGAGCGCACTGAAAAAACTGCCTATTACTTCTTGACTTCACATTCCTGTGAGGTTTTTTAAGCACTGTCATAATCCTTTTAAACCGCAAAATATTTTTAAAGTTATTTGACTTACGAATTTATAACAAAAGGAGTTGAATTCAGTAAAGCCTGGTCTGCACCACAGTTTCGCTGTAATAGTTAAAAAACAGTAGAGAAATATGAGTAAGAAATGGCAAAATGAAAATATAAGCATACGTTCAAATTTGCAAAGAAAATTAAGTTTTTCTTCGCAGTTTTTGCGCCTCCAGTCACCAGCTTCATCGACCGACATGCATTTTTCAATACCAAATTTTCTTTTTGTTACATTATACAAATACCAAACTTTGTAATCAACAGTTGTTGCATCCAACCACTCCCACTCTTCATTTACCTGTTTCAAACCAATCCAATACTTCGCTTTTGCATATCTTTCTGAATAGCAGACTACTGTTTAAAACACAACTATTTTCAACGGCTTTAATTAAATAAGCCAAGAACTATGTGTTGAGTTATAAAGAGAACACTAAAATGCAGTTTTCAAACACTCTAACTCTATCGACTGTTTACAACGTTTCAAGAGTCTTAAATAGGTGCTATTTCTCCCTAATTTGTTTCTAAAGTTTTGCTATCAAAGATTCTAATTTTTTTAAAGCTTAGTCCCTGAAAAAAAAACAAAAAGTCTTCGAAAAAATTTTGGAAATAAAAGCATTTTGAAAAGTTGATTTATCGATAAATTAGATTTTTTGTACTTTTTGTCGGTTGAAGCTTATGTGTTGGGAAAGTGCTTATCTGCGAACTGTCTACAGGAATAAAGTATATCTACTCTTATAAATTCTCAATTTTTTGTACCATTTTGCTTCTGTTAGTTTTGCATTAAACACCTTTTTTTGGCGTCTGTTAAACAGTTTTAGTTGTTACTGTTCATTTTTTGTGGTATAAAAAGAGTTTAGGGTTGCCGCAGACATGCAAGGCGACATAAACTAAAACCATAAGTAAAATAGTTAAGGATAAGCGAAATTTTGGTAGACAGCTTTATGATGTTGACTGGTAATTGATGACACTTGTTCTAGCCAATATAGGAGCGACAACGTGTGCTAAAATTGCAAAAGACAGACTTCGTAACAGGCAATTTAAAGAATTTTCGGTACTTATTTGTGAAATGTTTTGAAACAGTTTTAGAATATACAATTAGTTTCATGTCATAATTACTTTGTAGATTAGCAAGTAAGTATCGAGTTGGTTTTTGCGCGATTTATCAGTTGATAGTGGATTTAGGCTTATTTTTTATCCAGTTGATAAAAATTTATTTGACGATGCTGAAAGAATTATCGTAAAAAAAGTAGTGCTAAACAATAGTACATATTGATAAAAATTTACTGTAGGTGAACTTGAAGTTATTAGAAAGCTGAACACTTTCGGTACTAGCTTAGATTGTCAACTCTGAAGGGTTGCTGAAAATGTTGAGAAGCAAATGTATGGCACTATCAGTAGACTTACTCAATTTATCTATACGTCAGTTACAGTATAATTTTTCTACTGCTACAGAGGTTTTAAAAGTAAATTTGTGCTTTTGTTTTGAAAAATAAAAGAGCCACATAAACTGAACAATGAAGAAAAATTGTGGAGGGTATATTGTGTAAAAAAGGACTTACCCTTTAGCATTTTGTACTGCTGTTCTGACGAAAACGATGCTAGTGTACTATCCACTGTTTCACAGTAACGTTGAGAGTCTTCGAAATTCTTTGGCTGATTAATCTTAAAAAGAACCAAAACAAAGCGAAGTAGAGCTATGCAAATAAAATCATTACTTTTTCCCAGAACTAATTTCAAACTCTTATTTTATTTTTCTTTGTACAACTTTTGTTGATCGAAACTTACTTTTTTTTTTCTAGCTAGTTTATATGATTTTCAGTTGTTTTGTCAGTAACGTGTCTTCAAAAAATTTTGAAGTAAGAAACAACTATCTGTATACTTGAGTCTTATCAAAAACCTCGAAGAAGTGATTGCAGTTCAAAAAAAAAGAAAAAGTAAGCTTTCTACTTAGTCGGTTTGATACAAACATTTTTAGCAACTTTATTTTTTTGAAAGTATTATTTTAATCGTTCAAGTCTCGCTGAAAAAAGTGGATCAGAACTACATGAAGTAGGAATAGCAACGCAATATATCGGTTACCAATATAAAACATATATTTTCTTGTTGATACCATCTAGGTGGACATAGATACTTTGCTAAAATTTTTTGATTTACCAACTCTGTTTCTGTCAGTTTTTTATCTGAGAAAATTGTTTAAGTAAATAACAAATCTCCGTTTTATTTGGTGTGGAAAATTAAAGTGCCAGGGTTCATTGTTAAATGTTAGAATTTGGAATAAATATTGAACGGCTGTAATTAACAAAGCAAATAGAATGCTTTTTTTTGATAAGTCAAATTTACAACTGTAAGTATTATTTAGACGACTTTTCAAATACTTGTCAGCGCACTATTTATATTGGATGTCTTAAACAGTCTAAAAAATCTACAAACCAAACTGTTTATTTGGTATAAAAAATCTGTAACTTAACTGTAATGAAGCTGGTTTTTGTTTCTCCAATATTTCTAAAAAATAGTTTTTTCAAGCAGTAAAAAGAATTTAATTTCTTCTAATCAATTTTAGTTTAGAAAAAGTTCACAGAAATCTGAATACTTTATAATTTTTAGTAAATACGACCTGTTTTTCAAACGCCTCTTCTGTATCAAAATATTTCTTGCAAGCAAACCGCTGAATGCTCACTTCATCAGTAAATAAAAGTTGGCCTAAAAAATTCTCATTTTTTTTTGCATTCGCTTCTGTTTCACTAAGGTAAGAGAACAGAATTGTTTCAAAATGTCCAGTTAAAAATTGTTCAGTTTTGTCAAATTGCAATTAAAAATGAAAAAGATTAGAAAAAAACTGAGAGTAACAAAGGTACAAATCGAATGAGTAATTACTGTTCAAGAAAGTTTCAAAACTCAGCTATGACAGAGTTTGGCATCTGCTTAAAACATAAAAAACAGTTGCAGAAATGTGTGGTATTGTAAATTAAATAGCTTAACTGTCTCAGAATTAATGACAAGAAACTGTAAGTTTTTGGATATTTTGAACAAAGAATTTACAAATACTATTTTAGCAAAATAATGAATTTTCAGAGCAGCCTTAGCTTACAGATTTGCTTAAAGTGTTTATTTCTTATTGACTTTAAGCATATGTTCTCCTCAAAAAAAAAATTTTTTTTTGTTAAAATTTTATTTAAAATTTCAAACTATTTTAAACTGTTGTTTCTGCTTTTACTACTCCAAAAGTGTATAAGCATTTTTTACAAGTTTTTTATTGAATTTTTGCTTATTTTCATTAGATGATTATGGCAAAAAAAAGATAGAATCAATAGAGCCATCATAACTCCCGTAAGTGAGTAAATGCCTAAAACAATTCACCTTTAAAAATGTTGTAATTTTATGGAGTGTAAAAATATCGTAAATAGAAAAGCATTCTGAAAAAGATGCGTTGACGAAAACAATTTTTTTTTTCAAATAACCCTAATTTATTCTAGAGCCGTTCAGTTGTCATCTCAATGCAGAGGAAATTTTTTTGTTTTTAGAAACAGCTATAAGCAAAATAAAAGTTTGACAAAAAAAAAAGAACAGACTAAACCTGGTTGTTATGCGAATTTATAAGCTGATTTTGTTTATTTTTTTTAGAAAGCGTGACGATGCGAAAACTCGACAACTTTTTCAAAACAGATTTCAGACCTGTTTTAAGAAGAGCACTTGGAAGTTAGAGCCATAAGGAAGACATTTGTTACATTAAGTTGGCTAGTATCTTTTGATATAATGTTTAATGTATTATTTAAAGTTCTTGGCGTAATTAGTTTAGTATTTTAATTGCGTTGATAATTTTAAATTTTTCTTAGATTTATGTGAAAAACGCAATAATACTGAGACACTGTTAACTCTATCAGTGTTTGAGCTCAGCTATTTCCTTTTTACTTTTTTTAAGTATTTTGTCTTTTCAGTTTCTAAAGTTACATTTACCACTTCTAAGACTTCATGACTTTTTAGGCATTTGTATTTACCAACCGGATTAGTGTGACTTTAGTACGTCCCAAACTTATATAACATAATATTATTAAAAACTTAGTTTCTGTATAAAAAAAAAAAAGAAATTTGTTTAATTATTTTACAAATACTAAAGAGGGCAGCTCTAAATGCATTTTTTTGTAGGTCTGTAGTGAATGTATTCAAAGAGAAACGCAGTCATTACTTTTGTATTCACAGACAGAATAGTGAAAATCTTTGCATTCAGTAATGGCAGTATAAGTTCTTCGTATAAGATGACAGAAGTGTTTAACATTATCTGGTCCACCGGAAAAGTATGGTCGTCCGTCGTCAAATACATAACGATTTTGAGTCGAATTAAAAGTGACACCAATATAGTTTCTAGTCACCTGTTGCATGCCTACAAGTTGTTTTTAAAATTTTTAGGAATTTAAAGAAAGCTATTATGTAAATTTTCCGAAAAGTTTTTATATGCTTAATTAAAATTTAAAATTGATTGACAGTCAATTTATTTGTTGGATATACTTCTCTAATTTTATTAAGACTCTTATTTCGACAAAGTTTCTTAACCTGGCCTCTGTAACTTAAGCACCAAACTTCAAAAGTAAGACTGGCCAATGTCACTTGTCAATATTTTTAAATTCCAAAAAGTTTTTTCCTTGACTGTTTGCAAATGATTGCATACATCTAAATATTTGCAACAAAATTCAAGCTTTCTTCCACTGCAGTATTCACTCCTAGGCGAAATAAGGTTTAACTGTTATAAAGAACAACGCTTATTCTACCTAAAAATCATTTCTTTCTGTTTTTGCGATTGAAGACAGTTATTTAGTAGGTTATCTGTATAATCAGTATAATAAGTTGTAGTATAAACCTAGCTTACTTGCTACTCTATGAAGATGTTCAACATCATAGAAAGTGGCCAATGTGGCATCTTGCCAAGTTCTGCAAAATCTATCGTGAAAGTACCATTTCTCTTCTATATTAACCTAAAAAACTTCTCTGAACATACAAAATTCTTTAGTTTGTTCTTGAAAGCAACATTTACTGAATCACTTCAGTGGAAATTACCTTTTATATTTTATAGTAAGACAGTTATATACTTTTATTATAAAGTTTTACAATACATTAAAAAACAAACAAAGTAATAACATATTCCACCGTCAAAGAACCATTTTGGATGGCACAAGTGTGGTGCATCTGTAAAATACAATATAGCACACAAAACTTGGTAAAAAACAAATTATCAAAATTTGTTCTGGCTTTTACAGAAGACTCAAAATTTGACTAAACTTTCTATCAAAGCTTTTACTATTCTAGAATGACGTAAGATGACTGATTTGAGCATTAAAAAGGCAGAGCAAAGAACGTTGTTAGTTAAAGCGTTTTAAAGTAATTCAGACGTTTTTTTTCAAATGGAACCCGAAATTTGAAGCGTCCATACTCTGCTGACATTCTCTTCACTTTAGCATCTGCTAAATACCTCAAAAAATTTTTCTCGACCGGTGCTATGACAACATTAGGTCTTCCATCTTCTGATTTGTTGTAAAGTACTCCTAAAGTCAAAATCACTAACACACAGGAATGCAGCCCTCTCCATAAGTGTTAGTTCCGTTACAATTTTTCAAGTAAGAACAAGAAAACAACGATTTTTTGAGGTGCATTAGTGAACTTCTATTTTACGACAACAGTGTGTTAAAAAATTCAAAAATGAGTCGACTTTCATTCAATTCCTCTATCTTTCAATTTTATTAGTGAAAAAAAAATAATAAAAAATTTTGGCATAAATCTCATTCTGCAGAACTCACCCTGCAAGAAGATGAATTCCCTAACCGAACTGGTTGACAAGAATCGGCCATGAAAAGTACTCGAACAGTACTTTCTTGAACTCTCATATGATGTAACAGTGTTGCCTTTAACCTAAGAATACAAAAATTTATTGCCAATTTTAGAATTCACAGGTTTAATCAGTTAGGGGAACAACAACTTGACTGTTATTATACTTTCAAGTTTTCAGAAGTGAAAGAATTTCAGTTAGTTATCTGATTCTATTCTTGCTGCTCTCTATAAGCTCATTCTAGAAAATTTAACTTAAAAAATATAATTTGTTTTGAACAGGTTTTATTGATGCAATTTTGTAGTTAAAAGAAAAAAAGAATTATGATTTTTAATTCAAACATTGACGTCGAATAAACAGTAACGCCATCTTCCGTTACGTTCATTTACTACTCTGGTTTGTTTAACATCCAGTTCCCCTTGAATAAAAGACTGAGGACACTTCCTTGAATAATCCAACTCTATAAATCTAACATCACCCATTTACAAAATTATTCCTTCAGTAGCTGAGTATATTTGATAAGAATATTCTAGGTTTTTACCTTACTGTTGTTAATTCTTTAAAGTTCAGTTTGGAATGACTAACGAATTGGTTAATTTAATAAAGGCTAAAAAAAGGAGTGCATAACAGAAATTAGTGTTTTATAAAGATTCTATTTATTTTAACCAATGTGAGGTCAAACCTCTTTTGGTCACAACCACTTTTATTTCAGTCAAAAAAAAAGTTGATAGAATGATAACCCTGTTAGCTAGAAACAGTTGCCACGGAACTGAAACTGACAGTTAAGTACGCTCTAACATAGCAGCTCTGCGAGGTTTATGCTGGAAACTGCAGGTCTTTTCAACCTCGATTGTAGCAAACAGTTAAGCTGGAAGATAGTCTACTCAAAAACCATTGTTTGTTGCTAATTTTTAAAAAAGCTGGAACACATTGGCTATAAAACCTAATTTTGTGGTTTAGCCTAATTTTTTGAGCTTTTTAATACGTTTTTTATTTGAAAAATTTGTAGTCAAACTGGAAAGAAACAACAATGCTCTCAACATTGTTTTCCAAATTTGTCTAGCTGTCGCGCCATTATACTCTTTGCCATTAATGGTTGTAATCATTTGCCACGAAAATTTAATCTTGTTTATGCCAAATGTAAATGTTATAGTACTAGACGAACTTTTAACCTAATCAGTTCTTCAAAAGTCAAATTTCGTTTGCTGTTAAAATGTCATCAGGACTTTTTAAACAAGTAACCCACTTTCTTTGAAAAAACTTCTTTTTTAAACAAAAGCTCTCCAAATTCCGGCGTTACGTTAGACACAAATTTGAAGACAAATGCTCTACTTCTCTTCGTTATATAAGCAGGTGATTTTTGAAACTGCCTTCTACAAAGCTAATTAGTTTCGTGAATTTTTTACTTCCTTTTATGTGGGCGGTAAACTTTCTTTGCTTTAGTATTGTTATTTCGGAGCCTTAGGTAATTTTTTTCACGCTTATACAGCTGTCGTATATATCGCCTTAATAACACTTTTAGTAAATTATCGTTGGGATGGAATAGGATATTCTCCTCCGTTTACAGCAAAATACTTTGCCCCTTTTCTTTCCTCGCAGCTCATTTTTTGAAGTAGTATGCAGGCAGGTATACATCCTATCTTATAGAAAATGTTGATAATTTCTGTTCATTAAAAGAGAAGGCAAGTCAGCTTTTGCACATTATAAACCAAAAACGGTCTTACGAAATGCTTCCCCATCGCGAGCTGGCTGAAATTTTTTATTTTTAAGTTGTTTTAACAACATTATTATGCATGGGTTTATTTGTTAACTAGCGAAAGATTTTCAATATTTTAACTGCAAAATATTTTAACTGCAGTATACGTTGGTCTTGTTCAAGCCGAAAGAAAATGCCGTTTTCGAATGATCTACTGAATTTAAAATATTGTTCTTTTGATAAAACCAGGAACTGTTACAGTTGAAAGACAAACTTCGTTGTAACACCGCTCGTTAGAAGGAGCTATAGGATTTGCGCAACGCCTGTCGCCTTCATCTTCCGCTAAAAAATAAGTAAGCTTTAAATTTTAAACCAGCTGTAAACTTTAATATATTATATTACAAGAAAATAACAAAAGAAAAACCATAGCCAAGTTATTTTTGATTACAGTGCTGAAAATTTTTCTTGACTATCATTTTGCATTAAATTGACCTTCAGTCACTGCAGTTTACATAGGTACACAAAAAATTACTGCAGATTATGTTGGTTGAGTACCGTTTCCAGCATAATTACAGTTGTTGATTATCAAATCTACTCGCTTTTTACCTTAAGGGATTTTCATAGAGTTCTAAAGATGATAAATGGTGAACCTCTAATAATGCATACGCTATCTGCACACGTCTCGTTATTGACTGATATCCAATCACCTCTTTTAGTCACCTTAATGTGTTTCCCTTTCTTAGTTGTTTGAGCAGGCTCCCAAAATGATGACAGAGACTTGTTCATTGGGCTTCCGTCTAACCACCTCCAAACCCCATACGGATTTTCAAGACCGTTCCAAAAGCCGTGGGGTGAAAAACGAAGCAGGGTTTCTTCTGAAAATTAAAAGTTTTTTAATATTCATTTATCAACTGACCGTGATCATAAATGAGAAAAAAATTTATCTTTTTGACGTTTCCACACAATATTTAAATGTATTGCAGAACTTTTGTATTTCATGGGTAGTTTTAGCATATCACGCAAAAGGGCGCAGACAGTCGATGCAAGAGGCCAATGACTACAAAACACGTTAAAGTAACTTGCGTTCTTCTTTGCTCCATATTGATGGTAGTTTACCGCCATGGTCTTCACAAAAGTCAGCTGCTTCGTCATAGTTCATACAGATATCATTCTTTAAAAAATTTTTCAGAATTTAAAACAACACCTTCTCCCAGTGAAAAACTTCAAATCAAAATGCTATGTAGCTTAGCGTCCTCGCTCCAAGTTTGAGCTTTTTGTCTGCAAGTTGTCTCATTTTTCAAAATTAGAATTTTTAATGCTGCTTTGTATATCAGTATCATTTTCAGCTTTTCTTACTTACACATTCTTTGCTCTCCAAAAGCTAATATTATGTTGGACCTCTAGAATTTGAAAACTTAGCGACTCTTTTTGGGTGCTACACAACGTACTGAATTTGAATACTTGTTATTTTCCGCGCCTTTAGTTACCCTGAGATAACTTTGCTTGTTTGTATTATTTTAACAGCTTTCCGACTGAAGTACTTTAAGATGAGTTAACAACACCGTATAGGATTAATAACCAAAAGTGAATTACATAAGGATTTTGATTTTATGTTGTAGCAGTTTTTGCACTTGACTGCCCTAATTCTTTTTTCATCGAAATCTTAATTAAACAATGAAGTGATTCCGGATACAATATTTCTCACGCAATTTATAAGTGACTACTTGTAAAAACTTTCAGTTTTTCTAGATAAAAAATGTAGAAACAGTCAGACAAATGCTTTGATACTTACTCTTTCCCTCATATTAACTCAGTTTTTTCTGATTTTTTTCTGGTAAATATTAGTTTTTTGAACAGTCTTCTCTCAAAATCGGAAGTTGACTGCTTTGCTACGTCATCCTGTTACGTTTGCTAAGTACTAATAAGGCTGCACCCTTCGTAGTCACTGAGCTAGATGATTTGAACGGTATAGGTGGAAAGAAAACGCAAACTGTTGACAAATTAAAACCAGATTTTGAGGTATGCGTGGTGAACTATATCAGCTTTCAAATGACAAATAATGTCAATTGCAATTTTTACATTGTTTAATCCTCAGTGATTTCAAAGGTGCTATATTTTATATAACTACTGAAACATTGAAGAAAAACATCTATTTGAAACATTTTCTCATTATGTTGATGCAGAGTGCAATTAAGGAAAAGAAGGAAGTCTAATGGGGCAATGTAAAACTAACGTAAAGAATACAAAAAGAGGTTTCTGATATCCACCCAGCCGGACAGTCGTTTGACAACACCCCTAAAAACAATTTAACAAAAGCAGAGTTAGACTGCAGAAGCAGCTCTAACAGTGGGAAAATTAAAGTTGAAGTTTTATTAAATTTATTTAGTAGGTTCTGAAGAAGTATTTAGTATTCAAAACAAATTAATCTGGAAGATTACCGACAATTACTTTCAGAAGAATACTAAGTATTATGTAATACATTATTACAGCCGCACAAAACTTCGCCAACAAAGAAGTAAGAAATCTTAGAAGTTTAATGTGCTATACAAAAATAAATTTTGATCGCTTTTTAATAAAAATAATTTGTTATTGCTTGAGATAGTAATTTATAAATAAAATAATCTTTTACTATTTTCGTAAATAATTATTTATATGAGGCGCATATAACAATATGAGAGTTGGCTCTAATTGATTTTATCAATCTGTATATATCTCCTTTTAGGTTTTATTATAAATTCTTTATCAGTGACTTAGAAAAATGAGATTCTTATGCCGCTGCTCGTGTTTTTGATAACGTTTAATTTCATTTATGTAGAACTGAATTTCATCCAAGGGCGGACCAATAGTTCCAAAATTTTTACAAGAGGTCCAAATTTGATTGTGGCTACTACTTGGAGTTTTTAAGTTAAAATTCTATATTTTTTGATGAAAAAATTTTATAAGTTTAGTTATTCGATTTTGAGTTTGTATCGTTTCTGTAACTTTTATTTTTCAGCTCTACTTACTGTTAAAAATTCAGGATGTCTTGGTTTTATCATATAAGTTATTTCTATTACCAAAATGTTTTTTTTATAAGGCCAAATGAAACCCACCTTTAGCTTCTTTACTGTTCAACTATAGGTTCACTAAAGACGAAGAAATCTGCACGTATCAGGATCAGAATTCTGGGATAGAGCTATAAGACTGCTGCAATAAAAAAATTTGATTTTTACTTTGTTTGTGAGCTCTACTTATAGGGAGCAATACGTCTTCTATATTACATATGCAGCCGTCAATGGTATTACTACAATAATAGTATTGAATTCACTGCGGAAAAAGTTGATTTAGCAATGGTGAAGCATGCCTAGAAATTAACAAATTTTCATCTATTTTTTAACTGGGAGTATGAGTTCAACAACTATTTATTTTTCAAGCTTCAGATTTTCTTGTCACTTAACGAAAAGTACTTCATTTTTAAGCAACAATCTGTAAAAAAAACTGTTAAGCTCTAAGACATGAGTGTAACTGAGTTGGGAAAAAAAATTGCAGAAAAGTTTTCTATAAGTCGACGAGCTCAACAAAAGGCCAGGTTTGATGACGGCTTCGACGTTATAACATAGGAGTGATAAAGCTTTGGAACTTGAACTTTATTCCTCTCTTTGAAGCTCTTTTTTAAATTTAGCCAAAGCGTTTGAAGCAGTAAAAGTCAAAGAACTCTAACAAGAAATTACAGATAACAACAAGAATTAAAAAACAGGCTGTTCACAGGAAAAGATTAAAAAACGAAAAAAATTTTAAAGTACTGGAGGAGTTGAAGAAGAAAGCGGAAAAGTGCAGAAACGACGATACGAGGAACGTAGTCTAAAATAACCTTCTTCAAATATTTAACAGTAATTTGCGAAAAGTGAAGATGAAAAGAGGCGAATTATTTACTTCGATTGAAATTTTTTTGAGTGCCATATTTTGGAAGGGCGTATCTATAATAGAAGAAATTAGTAAAACTGCAGCTCGTGCTTTACAGTCTATGGGTTATAAGTTGCACTGTATAACGCTACATTAATTCACTTGAACAGGATCTAGAAAGTTTCATTTCAAAGTTATGCTAAAAACACTGCGGTATTTAAAAAAGGCAGAGTAACACAGTTATAACCGCTTACAGAAGCAAAAGAAAAGCGTCGAAAGAATTTACAGAATAAGTTTAGTTTCGTGACTGGGGTAAGGAGAAAAGCTCTGAAATTTACAGTATTGCTGAAGTTTTTTTCCATTTGTAGCCAGTCATAATTTTTTATTCATTTACTGTTTAGCTAAAACTAATAACCGTTTTTCTTGTAAGTGTTATAATAGTGAAATTTATTCAGGATCTCGGATTTTATAATTCTTATTATGGGATTTGTTAGCTACTTAAGAACCATTTTCATTATTATATGAATTTAAAAGGCGATCACAGATGTCTCCTATTTGGTAAAATTTATTTCTATTCTTGGAACCAAACAATTAACTGAGAGTCTGCAGGGTTAGTGACGTGAGTCGTTTTTTGTTAAAGGTTCATGTTGCTCATTTTTTTAAATCTGTTTTTATTTCTCAAAATTAATATTATTTTTATTTGGCTCCTGTGACTAATTTTCCAATTCTGCGTTGTGATTTTTAAACAACACACTATTTTTCCACTTGCTTGCGAAACTTTGTGCGTAGACGCATTTCTATTTTATTCACACCGATTTGGATTTCTATTATTACGTTTTACTCACCATTTGAACGGTTTATCAGAATTCTGTTGTGGTTAAAGCTTTTTGCCTGTAAACTGGTTGAAATATAAAAGTTCAGAAGCATAAATGATAATTCAGTTCGGAAAAATTACAGTGTAGAGCAATAAATGCTTCACTTTTAAAATCTTTCAACCAGTGGTAGTAAAAAGAAAGTTGATTAAAGTTGAAAACATTGTTGGCTTTTCTACTTGTAAATTTTTATAGAGAATGCTAAACCGTCACAGACAAAACGCTTAACTTTGATATCAGTTTTAAAAATTATTCAAAAACCAATATCTTGTACTTTCAGAAACAGCTACAAATTGCAACATGCAAGAACAGAGCTACAAACTGCGAAGAAGAAAAATTTTACTGCAGCATACAGTCTTACCTGGCGTTGATAAAAACGGTCTGTAAAAGTACCTGTAATTACTGCTGATTATTGGTATTTTGGTGTTCAAATGTTACTGATAATTCTGTAATTTGCTGATTGCAAATAACTAAAAGAAATGAAATGGTACATGAAGTGTTGTTCGTGAAGCCGGCAAGAAGAAGTTTATCCTGCACTGGTCATAGCTGGACATTATCAGTCTGGAATGTCAACATTTTAAACTCAGTAGTTAGGAGCAGTCTAATTAATCGTTATCGGTTGTCAAAAGCTCAGAAGCAGATTTACGAATTAGAGTTTTTTTCAGCAGTCGGTAAGCTTTTCACGATTAGAGTTTTCTTCTTGTACCGTAACACATACTTATTGGTTACAGAGTATTTCAGAATTGTGCTAGACCGGTGATCGTATAGTATCTGCATAAATTATGACATTTTTGCCTGTGATTGACCTTCCTGGCTCTTTCTTTCTGAACGACGCAGACTGTTGGTTTTTTAACATGATTCCATGCAAACGTGAGGAGTATTTTCAAGCGGTTTTGCAAGGAAATGTCATTTTTCTCAGGCAAAAAATGATGTTTAGAACGCTTTTTTGGCTTGAGTGCTGCTTGAAGTTTTTGCCAGTAAAGTAGGTAATGTTTTTTGGATTGCATCTCTGAACCGAAAAGTTTAAAAACTAGTGTCTAAATACACCTGAAGTACACCTCTCAAACGTAATTAACAAACTTGGGTAATATTATAGGCAAGGCTGTCGAGGCTAGTGCGAAAAGCTGTAGTTAGCAGACCACATAGAAACCGATCAGCAAAGGTTTTCATAAATGCAATTATGTAAACAACCAATCATTTGCATACTGATAAAAGCTGATCGTTCTAAAAGATCAACAGGAAGAAAGGAGTCATTATATAAGGACACACAATCCCGGGAGGTCGAGCAGCTAATTTCCTGTTTTGTAGCTTTAATTGCCTAATTTTTTTCAATTTTTATTTAACCTATTATCAATCGTTATTTTTTGTTATAGTCATTTCTATATATCATTTACTAGTAATTTCA